GGGGGGGGATGTGCTTCAGGTGAGGAAAGATACGACCAGAGCGTTGACCTCTGGATCAGGCGTGCCAGTTTGCGTGAGTGGTACTGACCGGAGTGCCCTCGAGTGTCTGCATGAGGGTAGGCATGATGGTGTCCTTCATGAGAACGGCGAGAGCGCCAGCCACACCAATATCACAGGCCGTGACGGGGTTGCCCTGCTTGTCGGCAGCCACAACGATGCGGTCCATGCGATCGCGCATGTCGGCCAAATCCGTGGAGAGGGCCAGAATGGCCATGAGCTCCGAGGCCACGGCAATGTCAAACTGCGTTTCGCGGGTGTGGCCCTGTTCCGTGGGAGATTGGCCCACGGTGATCTTGCGCAGATAGCGATCGTTGGTGTCCATGACTATTCAACCCATCCAGTATCAGGTGAGATCACGGTCAGCAAGGCTATTGCAGGGGTCAGGGCGCTAGCCCTTACCGCGCTGCCAAGTGATGGTCGAGGGGTCAATGTCCAAGCGCGCAAAGCGACGGCGCTCGTCGTCTGTCAGGTCGGCAGGGTTGGTCTTGGTAATACCAAGTTTCTGCATGGCGTTGCCACAATCAGAACGCCCAGCACAATTGACAAGGGGCGAGAGATGCAGCGAGGGGCGGGAAAGCAATCCCGCCCAACGAGCACTGGAGCTCTCGAGGATCAAGGCAATGAGGATCATGGTCAAAGTACCTCGAGGCGCTGCAACTGAGGCTTGGAAAACTTCTTCTTGGCAACGAGGCGGCGGTACAGAGCCTGAGGTGGCGCGGGAAAAAGCGATCACAACCAGCATGAGCATGCTCGCGAACAGAGACGTCCGAAGCCACGGCCAGCTCTTGCCAGCGAGGGCTGGGGCTGACTTCATCGGTCTGCGTGGCCTCGTGGAACATGCGCGTGTCGATCGCGCTTGCAAGAAGGTTGTTGGCCGCGGTGATGGCATGAATATCGCCTGCCAGATGGCCAATCGTGTATCGTTCCGTTGTAAGTCGAGGAGACAAAAGTGAGGGAAACACCAGGCAGCTGGGATCGCCGTTGGCGCTTGCACAGATAACAAAGCACGAGGACACGGACCCGTGAGATGCAGGTTGAATTCCTCCATGGGGATGATTTGTGAGTAACCGCCGCCCGCAGCGCCACCCTATTCAGGACGGGAAGAACCGAGGAAAATAGGTGAGAACACGAGCAGCTGGGTGCGGGTTGTGTGCGGGGCATAGGCGTGGGGCACAACGTCTAGTACCTTGATGCCAAAGGTGGGGCCCTGAGAGGGCTGGCGCAGGCAAGCAAAGACGTTGCGGTTCAGATGAGCACCGAGGGCCTGGGTGAGGCCAACTGAGGTGGTGCTTTTACCCTCGCCCAAAGGGGTGGGGGTAATGCCGGCAACGACGACGTAGCGGCCATTCTTCTGATGCTCCATGCGCTTGAGCAGTTGCAGCTTGACCTTGGCCTTGTAAGAACCGTATGGCTCAAGCTAGAGTGCCATGAAACAACAGAGCAATTCACCAGGGGATCCCACAAGCCATAAGTGACCAAAGCAAATGCACATGCAGGCATGGTGTCAGTACGGGTTGAGTGGAGAATGGAGCGCAAGTGCGCACCTCGCTGTCCATGATGCCAATTTCCTGGGCCAAGCGCTGGATGGGCTTGGGCTTTTGTGCTCGCGCAATTTCAATATCCGAGGGCACGGGCCTACGCAGCAGTTGGAGAAGAGCATGGGTGGAGATGAGATGCCTCGGCCTGCATGACTACATGCTTTGCTGTGCGGATCGGGTGACGCGACTGACGTAAGGGGCTTGAGTTTGAGCTTGCGCAACTTCCAAGGGCGCACAGTGGTGGCATGGCGGGCGGCAGCGACGGTGTTGCCCATCAGCATGGCAACAGTCATGGGGCCAACGCCTCCAGGCACTGGGGTGATGTGACCGGCCACTTGGCTGGCACTGGCGAAATCCACGTCTCCAACCAGACGAAAGCCAGACTTTTTAGAAGAGTCTTCAATCGAGTTGATGCCGCAATCAATGACCACAGCACCGGGCTTGAGCCAATCGCCCTGTCCCAGGGAGTCACAACGAGTGCAGCGTGCGCGCAATTAGCGAGCACGAAGGGACAGTTGGTATGTGAACTTGCACGCACAACAAGCAAGACGCTTTGAGGATCGAACCTGGACCAGGCCTGGCTGACCAACAGCCGCCACCACAATATCGGCACGAGCCACCTCCTCCTTGAGGTTGGTGGTCCGGGAGTGACACAAGGTCACGGTGGCGTTGCGGCGGGTCAGGAGATAGGAGACGGGGCGGCCAACAATGTCGCTACGCCCAATGACGACGGCATGCTTGCCCGACAGTTCAATGCCGGTGCTCTCAATGAGATGCATGCAGCCCTTGGGGGTGCAGGCGTACAAGAGGGGCAACTCGCCCTTTTGGGCCAGAGCGCCAGTGTTGTAGCGGGTGAAGCTAGTGGTAGAATGGCACGCCACGCCACGATACGTCGTCCAAGCCACACATGAGGATGGTCGTCAAAGCGCGCGCGCACAGAATGAAAGCGAAGGGCCAGGACATTGAAAAATCAAGCCGGCGGGACTCACCCATCAACGTCCTTCTCGGGGCGAACGGCATTGGTGATGGTCACCTCGTCAATCTCCTCTTGCGAGTCGAGGGGAAGCTGGACGATAATGCCATGGACGTCCATGTCATCATTAAGGGCTCGGATGCATTCAAGCAGCTGTGGATGGGCGAGGCAGAAAAGGCGGGAGCGATACATGTGCGCAAAGGTGACAGCCGGTAGCTGTTAGCATAGCAGTACGGCGACAAATTGCACGAGTGAAAGGGCCCCAGGGTGGGGCGCGATGAGAGGAGGGATGGCATCGAACCTGAGCTTCACTGGTCATGTCATCGAGGTGGTGGTGGGTAACCTTGACGCCAATCTGGCACACAATGGGCAAAAGTGCGGGGTTTGATCAAGAGGCGTGGTGTACAGCAATGCATGGGTGGCACTAGCTATGGCAGGTGGGAAAGGTGTGCAGGGTAGCGCGTATCCAACACACCTCATTACCAGCGCGGACTTTCATGCGGATGTAGACGGCCGAGTCATCGCGACCGCCGACCTAGACATGCGGAATCCTGTGAGAGCACGTGTGTGTGTGTGTGTGTGCGTGCGTGTAGGCGGGGGGGGGGGGGGGGGGGGGNT